AGGTGCATTCAAAAGCCGACATCCTGGCGAGTCCACAATATCGTGGGATTATGCTGCGTAATAATCAGTATTACAACCCCGCCTAAGAAATCCTTCCTAATCGAAAACGCATTTCAGAATTTTATTCCACGTTTCATGAGATCGGTCACCCGCTGTAGATTACCAGAGCGGAATAGTGTGGTGCATCGGCAGGACAAATCTTTGGCCACTGTGTGTCTCTAAACCATTCTTAGACTTACTACCCTGGAAACATGCCGTCGTCTGATTGCTAGGTTGTGGCCACGTTAAAAACCAAGTGCAGTAAATACTTGTTCTAGCAGACTAAGTTGATTTATACCTAGGCTATCACACGATGCATACTGTTTACACCAGAAGCGAGCATGTCTCTGTCATGCTCTGGTAGAGGCTCGTCTATTGCTCAGATTAGATTTTTGGGAAGGCAAGGCGTACAAGTAAATACGACTTTGACCTCAAGTATCCTGTCCGCTCACGCTTTTGCCTGACTTTCCTTAGTCTCTTTGCAGGACTGGCTCGAAATAATTGGCTTAAACTGCATCATACTCTTCAAGGTGACTCGTAATAGATGCCAGGTCACAGGAGGCGTCAGCATGGAAGTTGGATCTTCGTTAAAATCGCTCGACAAAGACTTCTTGCTCTCAGGACGCTCAAAACTTCAGAGCCCCGGATTGTGAGAACAAGAGTTATGCAGGACGACATCACAATTATCTCCCAACCATACTTGACACGACTGTGATCGTGTCCGGTCTAGTTGACATCAGTAATGTTACGGGCGTCACATTATGTCGCTTAGGGTACCAGATGTTGCTGTGAGCGTCATAATCGTCAGGCGAATTCCGACTATCAGCAGACAGAAGAAATCAGGATGAAGGGGAGTTTATTATGTACGGATCCCACAGTTTATGGCTTTGACGACAATAGCCACTGGTTAAGCCAGGGTGTGTGCTGACAGTGTTGATTCAGGCCTTTGAGGAATAATGTGATGTCAGCTGCCTTTACATGTGCCCCGGAACCAGTTCAATATTGCTTGTGTCCAGGTGGCGTGTATTGCATTACTCGAGGCGTATTTCTCTGTCTTCAAGTGATGCACGCTTCACCAACTGAGGCCTTGATGAGCGTGACTCCCCGGACTCATATATGTCTGTGCTAAAGTCAGTTGAGTGGCTGAAGGTCAGCGCGTTTGGAGTAGGGCAAGGTAGCTTTGCAGCAGCACTCATAGTGAAGGTGACTGACCTTAAATCGTCTGAGCTCTGAAGCAGCGGTGACAAGCCAATTTATTTGATGACAGCTCACGGTCGCCAGGTCACAATGCCATCATTTGCTTTTGCGGCATTTTATAAGATAATCAACGTGCTAGACTTCAGCCCTCCTCATCCTGGTAGCAGGGTCGCTCATGATCCGCGACTACTTGTTTGCCAGATTTGAGAACCTGCTTTATTGGCCAACTTTAGCTGAAGGCCCTTCCGCCACTTTCCACCTGTGGACACGCTGGGTATCCAGTAGCCAGGCTAACGAGTAACCCGTCTTTCCAGCTTCTTCAATCGCCCCAAGTAGCCAAGACGCAATTATGTCCATAGAAGACTCGTAAACCAGCAGGGATGTCTTCCTGACCGGGCACATTGTTGTTGCTCGACCTCAACACTACCTGAATTTTTTTCCTTGAAGGAAGGCTCGCAAGACAACAAAAAACCGCTCCTAAGGGGAATGACAGGTGATGTTCTTGTCTTCAACTTTGGGGAGATTCGACGTGTCGACGCCAGCGTTCGACCTTTGCCGAACTATTGACCGTGAAGCTGACACTCACATCGCGAACAGTTACTCGGTTGAGGAATCTACCGTTACATTTGCAGCTAAACTGATAAACTTTTCCAGCGTCGACGAGGCTTGAGGCTTGCCCAATGAACGTCCTTTTCATGATCCAGGAATTCTTCATCAAACTTGTTGTTATTTTACGGAGTCGGTGGGTGGGATTACTATTGCAAGATCCAGAGCGCTTGTCTCGACAGACAACTACAACATGATTCTTGCACATATCCAGTCAATGCTGCGCCATCAAGTAAATCAGGAAATTTTCTCAGCTGTATTTCTGAGTGCAGACTTGAATGACGTCTGTTTGTGAGTGTCTCCTCCTCCAGTCGAACTGCAGTTTGTCATCGGATTTCTGGATTAGAAGTAAGACTGCCCTAGATTTCGAACGTCATTCAGTCAACAGTGATATTAGAAAGCTATTATGGATTTTGGAGACGGACCAGTCCTATAGTCCGTCTGCCAACATGATCGGTGAAATCAATGGCACGAGAATAACATCCTCTGGTGGAAGTAACGTTTTGTTCAGTTGAGCTAGACGAACTCGGTCCTCTCAGCGGCCACCCGCTTTGAACACATCCTGCCGGCCAAGCGTAACTTCGGGTGCTGCACATCATCCTTCGAGGAGATTCTTGCTGAAATGTCAGAAGCGAAGGTCGGGGAGGTACCCTGCAGCGACCTCTTTTTAGAAGATATTTGTGGGTCCCTTTCAATGATGCAGACTATAACGATCTTCCGCACTCCAGGCTCCACCTATGAAGCTGAGCAATACTATCATTAGTTCCGTCTGCAGGGAATATGACTGGTTCTCTGTGAGGACTAACATGGCATCAGCCTCCTACACCTTGTGGCTGAAGTCTTCGTGGTCGTCCTCAGTCGCTTACCCATATATAGCTAATCCAGAAGAATGCAGTATCGTGGCCTTTTGGCCGGTAAAAAGTGGGGATCAGCTACTCACTAAACACTGGAATACCGACTCGATCATCAGAAGCCACCGTTGTCCCTATTTCGAATTTTTGCTCTGCAGCTGACTCTGTCTGTCAAATTTTCTTGTAATAGATCATGCTATATGTTGAAGTCTCACCGAAAATACCACGACCCATTTGAGCCCATTGCCACTGAGTAAGCCCCAAAGTTCCTGCGAATTAAGAGTAGAGCGATTTTACTTCAAGCGTCCCTCTTGCTGTGTTCTCGCACCCACTCCGTCCAACTGCTTATGAGAATGGGCTTGTTTCCCCCACTCTGCTTAACTATTCTGGTGTTACAGGAAGCTGTCCGTCACCTCCTAATTTGGATTACGCTGATGATCTGGTAGTGCTGACTAGCTTCATGTTAACTTTATATCTCTGATAGATTACTTAGACATTTACTTCTTAGGGCGTGTTTATACGTCTATTTCGGTTCCTGAGGTGCATCACTCTTATGCTTCTTCGCACAATTTGGTCCTTGTCAAAGTTGATTTTTTGTCACATCCTGGAAGAAATTAATGGGTCAACCTGGTTCCCTTTTTTTACAACACTTCTAGTTTCTCGGATCATTGTTTCGCAGTACTCTGGATCTAGATTATTCTGATTGATGGCATGGCATTTACCGGCAATGAAGATGCCGGTGACGTGAACACCGAGGACTTCGTGTCGGTGATCGATGAAGAAAACATTTCGCGGATCATCAGCTCACAAGAGGCTATGATCTCGAAACTAGAGAAAACTAATGCCATGCTGCATACAGTTTGTGAACTTTCCTCTGACCGTCTCGGCCCCATTTCCGCCCATCTGAGAGCCAGCACGAAAACTCTGGTAGCCCTTAAAAACGAACTTTCAGCGGTGATGAAGCGCACCGAATTTCTTAAGAGTGCTTTTCAAAAGAAGTTCCCCCAGGAGTACGCCGTTGCTGCCCGACAAGTCTTGGAAAGATGGGAGACCGAACTTGACGCCGAAACCGGTGACGATCCCCCTCCTACAGAAAAACCGCAATCATAATTGCAGATTGTTTTCTGTTTAAAAATTGCCTTTAATTTTGTAAAGTCTTTTGTTCTTTGCCCCATCAGATTTGCTTTTAATCTCTTGACTAAATAGACTTTATGAAACTCAATCTTCTTCCCTTTACTTGTGTTTTTAAATGACTAGTCACTCATGATTCTTCTTTTCGCAGGATGGGCTTTAGTGTATTTTCCTTCCTGCGGAGTATTGTAGTGAATTTCCTAGAAGACCTGTCCGCCTGTGTGCAGACCGCTTTGTGGATCAAGAATGAGCTGCAAAAACTACTGCGCACCACAAGGCAGGCGTGGCGCATCTTATTTACTCTGGTTATTCTCACCTTCGGACTGATCGCTCTGAAGGTAGTCTGCTATCAGAGCAGCAGGTAACAGACTCTTCCGCCTCCACATTTTTCGCGAATCACCCTCTGGCTTCAACAATACCTGTTTTTTTCTGTAACCAGTTTCGCATTCAGCCGTTCTACGATTGAATATTCAACTAAGTAGCCTAAATGTTCAAAGTGACCATGAATTTTTTTTCTCTTCAACAAACTTTAGGTGCTCCAGCCCCCTTTTCTAGTTTAAACTCGGCATGTTAAAGACTCGAGCCTTCTTCCCGTCTCGTTGCATAATTCGTCTGTGGCCCCCTCCTTTGGCGTTTTCTAAACGACACTCTTGTTTATCTCGCTGCTTTCAACACTCTCCCATAGCCTGGCACTCTTTGCTTTCTCGGAACTTATCCTCTTCGATGTGCTCGCCCTTATCGTTGCCCTTGTGAGTTTCTGGGTTCGGCAGCAATCGGCAGACGTCAGTACCTACTGCTTCGGATACGATCGCTTTGAGGTCATCGCGGTCTTTGCGTCTACGATTATGGCCATTCTGTCCTCATTCTACCTTCTTAAGGAGGCGATCGAGTGTCTCTTTGAACCGGCTGCAGTACGTTTCATATAACCGTAACGGTTTCTAAATGCGAAATTTCCATATATGTAATTCTGACCGTCACCAGTGCTTGGTAGGCCTACTGATTATCATCCTTTGTTGGTCACTGCATTGTTTGGCAAGCCGCCCTATCTTGCATTTTATGGCCAGGCAAGAGCTAAATGCTTTGAATTCGAAAGCGAATCCTTTCAAATTAACAGTCCCGTTTCATCTCCTTGATTCTGTCTTTCAGACTGACCACTTATTTTGCCCCCACAGGTTGCGACGGAATACATGCCATTTGCCGCTGTCTTCACGCTCCTTCTCCACACTTTCGGAATCTACGCGGTTGAAAATCCTGCCTTTTCCCACGTAACACAGGCCAGCGTGTCCAACTGGCTTCAGGTTAGGGCAGAATTCCCTTACTTTACCTGTTGTATGAGGAGCTCCCATAAAGATCACGTTTTAAATTTTTTTTTTCTGCACCTTGAAACAGGAGCATACCTCGGATATTAGCCGATCTGTATGTAGCACCGTACCAGGCCTCTCACGCATCCTCCTGCCCAGACTGAATCCCATCTCCTTAGTGGGGTGGCTGATCTCAATGGTCGTATTGTGCGCATACGTCTTTATGGACTCTGGCCGAGCGGACTCTTTCCCTGATACCATTGCTGCAGTGACAATTTCCTTACTGCTCTTCAGCACCATGGTCCCCATGGCAGCCTACTGGTAAGCTTGATCTCAAGTTTAACTTGTACCTTAGGATGGACGCAAAATGTAATAAATTCAAATGTCGTAGACCACACATGTTTCACCTACGGTTTCTAGGCGCACTGCTCTCACACTAGACCAAAATATGGGCCAAATCTGGGTTACTCTGGACGCAATCAGTTGATGAGCCTTTAATTGTTGGTCTTAATTGGTGTGAGACGTGTTGGGCGGACTCTTTGCACTCAATGTCATAATCATTCAGACGACAAACTCGGATAGATCACTAGTGCACGTGAGAGGGAAGAGAGAGCGTGATTGGTACATGGCAACTGAACTTATTCACGCTGCAATAAATCCGACGTGCCTGAGGCCTACGACGCGCTGCTGTGGGTTGTGGCATGGAACATTGCCAGCTGGGAGGATAATTCCATTTTGCTTTGCAGTGGGAGTCAGGCCTCAATAGCCTCTTTTTAGCGTGATCTCTATTTCGCCTCTAACTTCTGTGAGGTCAGCGCCCGAATATGACACTCAATAGACTCAGGGCGACAGACTACTGCACAAGAACTGCTGTGACACAAGTCTCCTTGGGATTGCTACAAGTCTTTTCGGCCGTCCCCAACTGCTTCCGTCTGTACCGCGACGCGCGAACAAAAAAGCAGTATGACTTCCGTTTGGGGCAGAGATGCATTGACCAGCACCTCTCGCTTCCTCGAACTCTCGGTGTCAATCTCCACCGTTTCAGAGAATCTACACCTGCTTTTGACGGTCGACCGATATCCCTTCCGGCTGATCACGCTGCATGATGACATGCCGCCAAACGCGCTCCGCCTGCCACCACAGAACAGAAGTCAAGATGCGCGTGAATGCCCAAGAGAGAACCTTCGACTTTATCTCCGGCATCTGTCTGGGCTGTCTTCTCCAAATCTGCCCAACTGCGTGCTAGATTGATTTCTGAAACAGGTGTTGGTAGACCACCACGATGCTGCAGTAGACCTTAGTTTGTACATTACAAATCGTGAGCATGCCGATGACGTTGCGGTGCTAGCGAACTACTTCGCAGAAATATAATACCATATGTCCCCGATAACTTCGAGAGCAGCGGGAGCGAACTTGCAAGCGAATTCCTCCTAAAGAAAGGTTATTGCCCCCCCCCCCCCCGGCTTCGCATCCATTGATACCAGCCAGATCTCAGTGGAGCACTCGGGCTAGTGAACAGTCTCCGTTATCTTGGATCGAACATTCTAAGATAGGGTGAGCTAGGCTATCCGATTAATCGGGCGCACTACCGCTCAATTCCTTCGAAACCTCGGGACTTGGTGTGGAACCAAACCTCGTTTATATGCAGCGTTCATCGGGTCATTTCTCCCGTAAGGATGTAAGACAACCTGGGCCCTCATGAGGCAAACCATCCAAAAGTATCCGGTAGGCGGTACTTACGTCATTCTCCGAATTCTTATCTCCGACCGGGTCATACAGTTCTGGGGTTGCGTATCGCTGACTAAGGGCGGTCAATTAGCCAAAAGTTATTAACTCTTTCACCCATCGTCTTCAGTACATCTCTTCTTCCTATAAGTTTACAATACGTCTGAGACGGAATCGGTCGACTACGTTCTTTTTACTCGTCTATTAAGATGGTTTAGTCATGTTTTGCGCCGATCGTCCGGAACATCATCTCACCCAAATCTGATCCTGGCCGACGAAGTTGGCGAGGTGACTAACCGAAATCATGGATATGCGTGGTGAGAGCTGAACGGGGGGCGCATCTCTCCGCTCTGGAGTCTTCGGCCGACCGAATACAGCTGAGAGCGTTCGTAAGTGGTGAGAGTAATTTACAACATGGAACCGGCTGATTCAGTAGTTATGTCAGGAGAGGTAAGAGTAAACCGTACGCGTTACGCGGATGCTTCTCATCTTCATCTCACACGGGCCACTAGTATATAGAGGAACGGATCTAACTCGGATTTAGCGTTTAGCTTCTGCACCATAGACGACCACTCTCACTTTGAGCCTATCAGAATTGTCACTTCGACGGTAACTAGCTGTTTGAGTAAATCATTTTTTCTCAGAGCTGAGAGCCAGGCCGCGATGGCTTCCTCTTAATATAGCCTTCATGGCACTCTCACTTACGTGAGCCCCAAGGACCCCTTCATTACTCGAAGGCTCGTTCGCGTGGAATTAGGAACCAGTTCTAACTTACCACGTGTAGGCAAGCAATTTCATTTCGCCTACACCCACTTCCAGTCCTC